GGGCTGCTCCTGCGGGCCTGGCTCCCAGTCTAGCAGCCCGGGGGCCCCAGGAGGGACCCCCCATCAGAGGCTCCCAGGTGGGGGAGGTTAAGGGGCTGTAGCCTGGCCGAGCAGAGCGCAGGGGGGGAGGGTCTTTTAACCCAGGGAGCAGACATGTCGGGTCCCTTCCTGCTGTGGTCACTGAGCCCTGCACGTCTCCAGGGACACAGGTGAGAGGTGGAAAACCAGTTGCTAAGGGCTGGCAGTGTTAGGGGAACAGCAGGGAAAACAAATTGCTGTGGGACAACAATGCAAAACTGGAGCTACACAACACAGCTAACACCATAAGAACGGCCAGACGGGGTCAGACCAATGGTCCATCTAGCCCAGTGGCCAGTCTGCTCACAGTGCCCAGAGGGACTGAACGCCACAGGTAATCATCGCTATCTACCTCCCTACACCAGCCCCACACATCCCTGCTTCCCCATACCATCCATTCCCAGCACAAAGCTGCTGTATACAGCCACATTCACAGGCCACATCCATACCCTTAATTCTGCCCTCTGCGGCCCTGGCTAGCCCAGAAGACTCTCTCAGTGTTAAAAGGTTTCTAACCAGAGGAGTGAGGCTCTGGAATGGCCTTCCAAGGGGAGTAGTGGGGGCAAAAGACCTATCTGGCTTTAAGATTAAACTAGATGGGTTTCTGAAGGGGATGGTTTGATGGGATAACATGATCTTGGCAATTAATTGACCTTTCACTATTGGTGGTAAATAGGCCAATGGAGGGATGACAGGAGTTACTATAGAGAACGTTCTGGGTGTCTGGCTGGTGAGTCTTGCCCACATGCTCAGGGTTTAGCTGATCGCCATATTTGGGGTCAGGAAGGAATTTTCCTCTAGGGTAGATTGGCAGAGACCCTGGAGGTTTTTCGCCTTCCTCTGTAGCATGGGGCACGAACCTCTTGCTGGAGGATTCTCTGCATCTTGGGGTCTTTAAACCATCATTTTAGGACTTCAGTATCTGAGATATAGGTGAGAGGATTATTCTAGGAGGGGGTAGGTGAGATTCTGTGGCCTGCACTGTGCAGGGGGTCAGACTAGAAGATCATAATGGTCCCTTCTGACCTTAAAGTCTATGAGAAGACAAGTATTTCCAAAACCAGAAGCACACCTGTAGCTAGGGCCTGGTTCCTGTGGGATTGACCTGTACTTCTCATGGTTAGCGTGAACCTGGGTTATTTCTGCTTTAGGAATAGTCAAGAATCAGCCAGTGTGTCCTTTTGTTTGTAATCTTAATACCGGCAACTAGAATGTACTTCCGGCATTTCTCCCAGGGGAGGCGCCACCTCAT